TTTCTTGTGAAGACCCCTCGGCTGGCGACTGCTGTCAGGTGACTCACGCAGACGCCGGCGCTGGTGAGGGCCCTGCAAAGGAGGCGTGTGTGGGTGAAGCCCGGAACGAATGCTTCAGGCGGTTCTTGTTGTGGTCTTGGTATCTAGCAGTGACGCAGTCCTTAGGGACAAGACCCTGCGCCTAAGATACCCGGATGGGCCGAGTCTACATGAAGCAAAAAAAGTTGAATGAGCAGGAAATTCGTTTAGGAGACTCACATTACTGGAGTCTATGTGATTTTGTGCCCGAGCCCGCTCTGATGAGCAGCCAAATTTGGTTCTGAATCATGGATTTCACGGACAAGTGTGACTGTGCAGCTGCTGCCTGGGAAAGCAAGCAAGATGATTTTTTCTTCCAGATCTTGACGCAGACACGGGTTCACCGTCACAGCCATGTTTTCGGAAAGCTTTGCAGAGACCTGGCGTTTGCAAGCGAAAGCATCCCAAAAAATGACAAGAAAAAGTGTCTAAGATGCCCAGGCCAAACAGATGGCCAAACAGATCACTGTTTCCCACGTGTCTTAGGAACAGTCAGGCGTTCTGTTCCTAAGAAAGTGTCTTTTAGAGTGTTGTCATAAGAGCGGAAAGTCGCTCTTCTACCGGGTGGGTGTCGCTGAGATCTTTTTGTGAAAGAATTGGATCCCACCTCCACGACATCTATGATGCTGATTGTGGGACACACCCCTCTCGGGCAGCCCACAGGGTGCACATCCGAGAGGCACGGCTGCAGGTGACGGGCGCAGCAAGAGATGATGCTGTGGTGAAGTCTGTGGCGCGCGTTATGCTGGAGGATCTGAGACACCCATCCTCACTCAGAGGCAAGTTCGCCGGCGCCTCAATGCTGGCTTGCCTAGCAATCGAGCTTTTTCGTCTTTGAGAAATCTGCCAGTGGTCTGATTGAAGCTACAGGCGTGGTATGACCAAGCAAAGCAGTTCATGGTTGACTTTTAGAGTAACATGGTATATAAAGCGCAATCCCAATTTTTGGTAGCGGGTTGCCCAAGACAATTGGAATTTTGATGAATATTTTTGGAGGTCGCTCGGCCGATGTTCTTCAGTCCTTGGATTTGGCAGCAGAAGGAGGACAAGAAGCGCCACAAACCATTGACGATGTTACCATCAACAGCTACAGCTTTGGACCTGGCCACCGGTAGCCAAGGTCAGTTAGCTGCCTGACCCATGTTCACAGACCGCAAGGCCAGGAAGCCTCAGACAAAGTCTGTGTTGGCTGATAAATTGGCCGCGTGGTTGCAATCTAACGATGCCAAAGAGTGGCGTCGTGATCGGATGCAGTTGCGGGCAGCCGATGATGAAGGAGGTAGCTGAAAATGCACAAGTGTGGCCAGCATTAAATTAGGTTAGCGCAAGACAAATGACGCTTTTTGGCGCATTCGAGCTTTTCGGAGGGTGTCGAGTCTGGATGTGTTGTGTTTGGAAGGGCGCGCCCCCGAGGCGGACGAAGGGGTTGTGGGTGGGTTGGAACGTGTTAGGCCAGACCTGAGGAATGGCCGGAATATTACACCAAGCCATAAAGTGGAATGAGCCGGTTTTGCAAAGTTATGCCATGCCACTAAAATAACCGTGGGGCCTCCATTTGCTGGGTTCCTTTGAAACTCGAAATTCTTTGGCCCAGCCTATTCCCAGAAAGAAGAGCTTCCTGCATCAGAGGCTGCCGCTCGGCGCTTTTTCGACAAGGTCTGGCTCGTGGCCCGTGTGGATGAGGCAAAGTGTTTTAACAATGTAGATGGCTCAAAACATGTTTGACCCAGGGCTTTTGTTTTTGTAAAAGGTTTGATTCGCCCAGGTCCGTCTGAGATTGCCCGATGCAGGGATCCCACGATTGTATACTATTCGACCACCGGGTGACTGGACAAGGTGGAGCCATCATTGGCTTCCTGGGACTTGAAAAGACAGGGCTTCATCGGATTGGCCACGATGCTACTTCAAAATAGAAGAGAGTTCTCGCAAGGGTTGATCTCAGAGAAACAGGTGGTAGTTCTTCTTCTTCTCTAGGATGCGACAAGTGACCCTGGACTCCCAGGACCTGTCGGACATGGGTCTGATCGGGGCTCGCCCGTGACCAAGGAGCTCATGGAAGCTGTGCAGGTCAGCGATGCAGAGGCCGTGGACCCATGCGCCATTGGGTGTGAAGTTCCTGTTGTGAAAAAGGCTCTCATCACAGCTTAAAGATAGTTAGAGCAACAACACCAGGGCAGTTGTTCAGAGGTTGTTCGAATTTTTTGTGTGGGGAATTAAGGCATGGTTTTGCGATGTGTTGCAACTGAGTTTCGTAGATTCTCTTACAGGAAGGCGCAAGAATCAAGAAGGCGTGGTCTCGATTGGTTTGTAGCTTTTATGACCACCACACAGTGTTAGTTTGACTACCACAGGGTAGGTGGTCCTGGTCATGAACCAAACTTTTATGTAGGGGGTGCATGTGGTGAGGTGGCCCACGTCCCTCCCTGGTGCCTCTGCTGGCTGCTCCTGCCGCTGGGTGCGTGTGGTGAGGTGGCCCATGTCAGTCCCTCCCCGCGCTTGTGCTGGCTGTTGCGGCCTTGCTGCCCGAGAGGTGCGTGTGGTGAGGTGGCCCGCGTCCCTCCCCGATACCTCTGCCGGTGGTGCTGGTATATAGGTCGGCAAACCAAAAGTGTAGATGGTAGATAGATAAGTTATCTTTTTTGCAAGACTGTCATGTTTGTCAGCAATGCATACAGAACTCCCGAAGATAGGGCTATTGTCGAGCCAGGGTAGACCCTATCCGGGGTCCGTATAGGCTACCCATATGCCTTTAATAAGCCTACCCCTACGCTACTTACAGGAATATATATGATAGGCCTACCCCCAGCTTGCCCATAGGGCTAGGCCTACCCCTAGCCAGCAGCTTGTGGCCGCGTGGAAGTTGCAGCGGCAGAGAAAAAGGGTTTGCATTGCGTTGGCATGATCTATAGGGTATCTGTGGTGATGTCCAACCACGGCTTCGGCCGATATATATGGGCATATGTTCCATACATGGATGGCTGGGAATTGCTCCGACCCGCTTTGCGCTGACCTGGACTCGGCCCGTTTTCGTTCGTACCTTGGAGTACGTTTTCCCCGTGCGTGGTAGCCTGTTCTTCTGTGGGTCCGACCTGCCTTTTTCTAAGGTACGACCGAAGTCAGTCCGTCCGGTCCGACCACTCCTCTCTTTCTCTCTCGTCCATTGACCCCGCTCGGAGTTCGCCCCAACTTCCGCACGCATCTGGACTTGGTCCCACCCTTAGAAAATGGGACGTCTGACCCCATAAAAAACAGGTACGACTGCACCCCTTTTGTGAGGAAAATGCGTACAAGTACATACAAGTACCCATGTTCTAACATACTTTGGAGACTCCAGGTAGTGATTGGAGAGATTGTGGTTCGGAGGGTCCAGTCGTACCGAAGCTGAGAAGGGACTGGATCCCTATAGGGTGGAATTGTCAGGGGACCCACAACTTGGCCCACAAACCATCAAAAACCTGGTTTGCCCCCACCCTAACCATCATTGGACCTTGCTGTGGAGGGTTTTGGCCCTGCATCGCAGGGGTTTGGACCCTCAAAGCCTTCACCTTTGAGGGGTCCTTGATTCAGCAAGAAACATGGTATTTTGTATCGGTTCGACTGGCCGGGCCGGTGATACACTCTCCGCTCTCCCGAGGTTGATTCTCTCGGTGCACAACTTGACGGTGGCCGTGATCCCTGCGGCTTTGGTGGCCTTTCCGGCGCTGCAGGTGGGCATCATGGGCTGTGTGATTTGTGCCTGAGCTGCAGGCCGAGCGGCTGAAGACAGTATGAAACACTTTGGGATAAAGGAAACATCAGCAACCAGAAGCTGTTAAGGCCATTTTGGGGAAACACAGCCGGCGAAACGAAGCGGAAAGGAATGGACACGAAGTGGGGTGAACGACGGAGTGAAGCAGTTGGAAATGGCGTTACCCCCAAGGGGTCTTCCAGCGGTTTTCATGATGTTTAGTTCCCTATCCAGTGAGTGGATGTAAAGAAGAGCACCCCGGCATGGAACTGCCGGAAGAGGAATTTCACAAGCTGTGTCTATGGCAAAGCACCTTGACCAGGGGTCACATGTCGGGGTGGTGTTTAGTCCCATCCAGTGAGTGGAGTAGCTGGGCACCCTAACCTCCAAGTTCGGCACCCCTTGGTGAGTCCTGGGAGATGTTCTTTGACACGGTGTTTTCTTGTGGTTTGTACTAGAAAATTGTTGAGCAGTCGTGAGGTCATTTCCAGCCAACAAAAAGAGCAAGCCAGTTCGGATGGAATCATGAACAATCATGAACAATCTGTTCACTCTGAGTTCGGACGGTGTTTTTTGTTGGCTGCGCCGATTTCGTCTCATCCGAAATCGGACGGTGTGCGGCCTCGCGTGACCGGATCAGGCTAGGGGTGGATTTCATTGGTACAGGTATAGAGATATATACCTGAACCCTCCCGCAAAGTAACCTAGAAAATGGGACCATGGTGACATATCATGATCCTATAAATTCAAGTTAAAAATCAATTAAAAGCCAGTCCTGGTACCGCTTTAGGAGTGAACCCAAAGTCAGGTGACCTCGACCACCTGACGACACCGCCACAGATCGGACGGGATCGGCGCCTTCTGCACCGCTCCACGACGGGGAACGGCGCTCCACCCGTGAAAATCCGCTGGCGACTGGTGTTGGAGGAAGAGGTCGTCTTCTGTACTGGACACCAAAAGTACTGGACACTGGAGACTTCACCAGGAGAGGCCACCTGTCACTGGAGACTTCAAGTTGCAGGGTGGTGACCTGGCAGGACGTCGGTTCCGAATGTTGATTGATAGAATTTGCGTGACTGCCCAAAGAGGTTTGACCATTCAAATATGTTTAATCAACATTCTACCTCGACGATGTAGAAAAAAGACACCAGCACCTCATGAGGCGCTCAGGGTCTCCACCTCTCGGAGCTCCAGGTCATTCGGCAGGTGTCCAGGGTCCCGTACCCCCCTCCAGTTGATCCAGCGCAGAGTGATCGCAGCTTGATCTCAAGCTCCCAGGTTCCAAGCTCGTTGCACAGATCCTCCTCTGGCCTTGGAGGCCACCGCGGACCCGCGTCGACTGCGAGTCCGAGGTGACCAGCGCCCTAATCAGGAGGCGGATAGAGGCGGACAGAGGCGGTAGAATCACTGAAGGGGGAGAGGAAGATTGAACAGTATCATTGCGCTACGTGGAGTATGATTCATGTAGAATCTGTGTTTGAGAACTGTTGAATGTGATCACGTGGTTCTTCAAACAGGCCTCGAAGGGGCTGCGTCCACAAATCAAGGAGTGACAAATAAAACCATAAGAGGTTGGTTCAACTCTTTCTTCCGTAAGTGGTTTTGTTCACAAGAGGTGAAGCATCATTTCCCTTGACCTCCTTCCTCATGTTTGTCCTTTTTCCCTCCACTCTAGAATGGACCTGGCCAACTACAACGACGCGGCGCTGTCCGCCGGGCTCATGACCATCTTGCTCCTAGCCTCGCCACTCCTGAACATCGACCAGGGGTGTCCTGACCTCAACGACCGCTGACCTGGGGGGGGCAGTCGGGAGCTGGAAGGTGGGTGGTGCCACCTGTTCCCATCCAATGGGATTGGAAGATGTCTCTACATTGATCCATGCCCAGACACGCACTCCATGGGTCTGTCATAGGACTGCCCCCCCTAGGACTACCCCCCCTGGCACCCACCACCCCAACTGATCGGCATATATGGCTCTCCATGGAGTGTTTGGGCATGTATTTATAAAACATTCCGTGCACATATATTACTAAACATGGGGGTATGGTCCATGGTACCATTCTGAATCTGAATGTGGGACCAAAATCAATGTGGTGAGCATGCGAGCAATTTCTTTAACCTGTTAAGGGCATGTGAACAGCAGATTGCGTTCACTTCTGAGGTCCAAGACGTTTAAACTGCATTCCCTAATCAATACTTGCCCGATCGTGCGGTTCATGGTTCTGACCAGGATTCCGACCCATGAAATCGGCCACGGATCCTAGGGTGGATGGTTTGGATTTCGGCGTCCAGAGAATCGGTGCGGTTTCAGGTTCTTCCCTTGGTTCGACTTCTTGAAGTAGGTCGTGAATCAAGAACTCCCCTTGTGCGGGGACTGTGATAGACTGTGAAGACGACTACTTGTACTCAAGTCTGGACTTGAACGATTTGAAGAATTGGGCGCCAGAGTTGCTTTTCCTGAACAAACTCAATATGGACTGTCTTTTGAAAGGCCCTTGTTCAGGCCTTAGATGCTAGATGCTCACAGCCTTGATGACTGTTTTTGCTGGCCAGTCATGTCAGAAGCTTGCGGAAAGTACTTGCCCCCGGCCCGGTGGTAATCATTGCCGATCCAGGTGGCGCTGTTGTGGATGTTCTAGGCCCTTAAGTCACCAGCCTTTGTGTGAACCACCGGAGCAGTCCGTCACTCGGGTTCAGCGCCGCGCACCCGGCAAGTTGCAGCAGCGCGTTGATGCAATTCGAATCGATCTTGATCACTTAGTTTGGAAAAGAAAGAGACCTTGAATACCCTAGGAATCGAACAACATAATTGCTTTATGGTGTTTGCCAAAGAACCTATTGTTTTACTATAGGGACCGTTTGCACCAATTTCACCACCAGGTCAACCATTCTTTTCATGGTCGAACTGAAGGCTAGGGGAATGCGTGTTTGTGGTCATCCTGCCGTTTTCTTCTAACCAGCACCAGTGACCCAAGATCCAGTCTGCAAGCGTATGCTGGAGTCACACAAATCCCCACCATCCAATCATCAAAACAGAATTCCACAAGTTCTGCCATTCGAAAGGCTCTTCTCTTTTACCTGCCAATCAAAGCAGTTGAATCCCCACCATGCTCTTCTCTTAAAACACGTTCTCTTCTCTACCACCCAACGACCCATCTCGTATACTGGACTCATCCCGTTCTCAGCCCACCGGGTCCATCGACTTCGAGGCAGACACGGCAGTCGGTGGCGGTGCTCCTGAGCTGCGTGATGATCTTGCTGCCGCTGGTGGCGCGGCAGGGACTCTACCTGTTCGAACGAAGGGGTCCAGTGGGAACGGCTCATGGGACGAAAGGAAGATCAATGAGAAGATCATATGTATACCTACAACCTGTTTGACCTGTTTTGATGGGAAAAGACCATGTGTTGGCTCCAAAACAGGGGTCGGTCAGGTTCTATAGGTAATTACATGCATTGACCCTCTCCCAAAACAGGTATATTGTCATTCCCATGATGCAGGCTTGGGGAAAGAGGAGCAAGCTCATGACACACGGCGACGAGTTGTGGAAGGAGGTACGTTGAGCTCCAGTCAGACAGTTTGAATCAGTTTGAGCTGGTCAGAATATCCTGGAACATGGGAGTATCCCTTACAAACAGGTCCAAATGCGCAAAGTTTCCCTACACCTCCGTTTTCGTACCGAACCTCAGGTTCGGTATGACTGGACCCAACCCTGGGCTCGTTTGTTGGACCGTTTCTGCACCTTTTCGGTTTGACCCAGAGGCGACCCTGGACGCTCATGGACCCTGATATGGAGGGGGTCGGAGCCTCTAATCCCGGTTTTGAGGGACCCGGAAAGGCCTGTTTTCACGGAGCGTCGAACGACCTTCGAGGGTTTCACGCTGGTACGTCCAGATGTTGAGCCGGGACCTTGGTGCCCCAGTTTCGGGTCCCAGCCGAGTACCACGCATGAATAGGGGGCTTAGAGTCTTAGAGGATAGGGTAAGATTAAGTTCCCTGGACCCTCCTGTTGGGGTGTCCTGGCTGGACTACCCCACACTATAGGCTTCCAGACAGGGCACCCCGACAGGAGGGTCCTGGTCATGGTGGAGGTGTTGATAACCCACCCAAAACAATCCGACCAGACTTGAAAATGGATTCTTCTTCAGGTCCGAAGAGTGACGATGAACAAAGCCCAACTGACATGCCTGACATGCCAACGGTTCGTGTTTCAACCAGCTCAGCACCAGTGGATGTGAAAAATCGCCGCTGCGCACTGCGCAGTTTCAAGGTGGCCATTTTCATCGCCTTTGCCGTGGTGCCTTTGGCATTTCTTTTTCGACCGGCAGATGACTGGCAGAAGACTGGCATGGACGTTGGGGAGAAACGATGGGACAAGGGGTCAACAAAACGGCTCTTACTTTAGGCTTCTGTTCGACCACTGAAAGAGTTGGGTGGACCTGGTTTTGTAGTCTAAAGTCCTTAATATAATGCATCCCTACAAGTCCCAAGACCCAGTAAAACCGGGTCTTTTACCTCCTCAGGTAGTGTTTGGGCATGACCAACCAACTCCAGCAAAATGAGCTCATTGACTTGTAGGGCATGTTTGTTGGATGTTGTTGGGGCTTCAGAGCATTAAAACAATGGTGGGCGACCGGGCTCCCAGGGTAAGGCTGCAAAACCCATCGGAGAATGCTTTGGCCCAACAAGATCGGCGAGGACTGGGGGTGATCACATGGCTCCACTGTTGACCTCTTGGGAGACTGAGCAGCTGATGCTTGAGAACAAAACTTGGAGGCCTTTCTGGACAGCTGGCCGACATCGTATACCCGGCCTAAACTGTGTTTATCCACTGACTAGACTGTTATTGTATACTTGCATGTACTATTTATTCCATACTGATTCATGTTTGGGGGGCCCATGTTCATCCATTTTCCATGAGGAGAATGTTTTTGAGACATGAAGGCCTGGAGAACCTCCAACGTGAGCCGGAGCGACTCCCGAGTTGACTGGGCGCGACCCGAACCGGCGCTTTGACCCAGCCATCTGAGACCTTCGCGCAGCGTCCCCCCACCCCAGAGTACCCGCCGAAACCGGAGTCCGATCTGCCCCCAGGTCCTGGCCAGGTTACGGCCGCAGAGCAAGTTCGGTGCCTTCTTGTGCCACCATAAGGCGGGTGCCGGTGCGCTGTGCCGCTTCTTCAAGTGACCTGGGCTGCAGAGTAGAACTCCGGACCGGTTCAGCAGGGGGGGGAGGACTCCGCGAGAACTGGACGCTGGGCTGAATGCCTAAACACTAAAGTTACTTCTCAGGTCCAACCAGGGGCCCTACAAACATCTACAATCCAGCAAAAAACTAGTTTTCCCTAGCGCAAAATATGGTCTTTGTATGTGAAAACCTCTATTTTTCATGGGATTGAGGGCTGGAAGAGCGTTTCTTGTCTTACTCTGCGCAGCGAGTTTTTGGAGGTGTTGAACTCCAATGTGGGAGTCCAACCTCTCCGTGGAAGTGAGTGGCGACGCCTTCATGGCAGGTAGACACTCCCGTAGTGGAAGGGCTCGTTTCGAGGGGCATGAGGAGAGTCTCGCTCGGATCGCAAGTTGGCTGTGGTGGAAGAATGCCCTTCGAGTTTTGATGTTTTTTTTTGTTTCCGCGCAGAAGAAGGACCATGGTCGGCAGGATCTATTTAGGTCAGCGCGGGGGAAAAGACGTTCATTGTTTGCACTGGAACGCAAAAACGAACAAATCAACAATAAATCAACTCAAGTGGGATGAACGAATCAACAGACCCAAGAACATCCAACCTTTAAATCGTGGGCTTCGGAGCGACGTTTCCTTCGTGACTCGGGGCCGGCGTGTGTTCGAGTAGACGGCATCGTGTGTTCGACGGACGAGTGGCGGACTGCACTTTGAACAACTGACATATATGCAGACGTCGCGGATGTGGTTGGGAGGTGGGATGACGTGGGATTCTAAGAAAATCCAACCAGGCACGGCGCAACGTGCCGTGCACACGGGACACGTGATCCGAAGCGGAAGGGGGAAGCGGTTCCGCTCCGCCTTCGCCGAGGCTGGTGGCGAAGAAGTACGTCGCTCGGATCCGAAGGAGGACGTCCCTTCCCCCCAGACGCCACCCGGAAGGGGTCGGCCCCGAATCCAAGGGTCAGGGGTCTGGACCCGGAGTCGGGCTGTTACTTTTTCACGGACGGAGCGTCTGGGCCAATGCATTTGGACTGAACAAGATGCCGCCCCAGAGCAATTCTGCCCCTGAAATCAACCACCCCGACTTGACATAAGCCAAGTCATATGCCATACTTACATACATGCCATTGGGCCAGAGAAAGAGTTGGTGATCCAGTGATTTTGGGGTCAGGCTTTGTACCAAGAAGCTCGGACCGTTGCTGGAGGGCTTTGGCTGGAGGGTTTAGGCTGGTGTTTGGTCCAGTCTCCGCGGGAGAGAGCGCGGTTGGTTCAGCCAGGCTCGGCTCGGCGCATCTCGGCCTCAGCCGTGAAGACAGCACGACGTGTCACGGAACCAACACGATGTGAGATCCGTCCTTTTACCTGAAACTGCAGCTTGGTTTGTCGTCAAGTGTGGACCTCCAAAGAAGCTGGAAGAAGGAAAATAGACCGAAATCCATTGAGGCCGGGGGTTTTCACTATTAACATACCCACCCACTTGGTTGTCAATGACTCCGCTCCGACTGCTACGACTCCAAAAGACGATAGCAGCAGGAGGTTCTGAAGGAACCCTAAGACTATCCCAGGTATATAACCCAGGTCCTTTTTCACGGCACCAACAACCTCTCTTGGAAGTGAAAAGGTCTGTTTGATGGGCGCATGCTGAACCCTAGGATTCCAACAACATCCAAGAACCATTGCTTTCATGAGTCTGAATCCTAAAGAAGCATATAGATCAGTAGATCCCCACTAATCACTCGCTTACGCGCGTGCGTATGCGTGCGTGCCACTATCTAGTTAAGGGGAGTACCATGCATAGGCCTAGGGTGAAGTGACCAAACCTTCCCAGGTCAACATCAATCTCTTCCTGGACTCCGACGAGCTGGATGACCTTGCCAGGACTGTGTTCGACTTGTGGGGGGACCACCCGATCCAGTCGTAGCTGTCTGACCAGGTGGAACCCACGCCGTTCGTTGCTTGCTGCATGTCTATATAGCACCCGACTCTACGGGTCTCCGAAATGGAGGGTTGGGAGTTGGGAAGGGCCCCAACAGGTTTCAATTGGTGACCTGGCAGTGAGGTGCTCGTATATGTTCTTTGAAATCCTTGGAATTTGCAGATTTGCCGAAAAAGGCTTTCCCAGAGAAAGTTTGTCACTAGACCTACCTTTTTTTAGAACGATCTCAAGTATATATCCATATTGTAAGCCCTATGGCTCCTGGCCACCCCCTCCGTTCGGAAGATGGTTGGTGTGGGTGGGTGGCAGGGTGGGTCTAACCACCGAACTTGAGGATATGGGACAGGAGCCCTAGGGATATGGGAGTCAACAGAGCCGAATTCGTTGCCGGAAGTCCCAGAGCTTGTATGGAAGGGCCATGAGGATCCAACAAGTTCCTCCATGGATGTTGTCCATTGCTCAAAGGCTCAACGAAATTGCCCAGCGGTTCCACCCTGGAGTCTTTGTTCAGTAGGGACCTGAATCCTTTGGAGGGTCTAACCAATCCGGTGTTGGGAGAAGGGTTTGTTTGGAGCATTTGGGTAGGCATGAATTCTTGGTAACTGTCAACTGACGGCACAGTGGCCCAGTGGCGTGCGAACATCATGAGCCACGAACGCCGGCCCTGCGCCTCTTGAAGGCTTTGCATTTTAGCTGATCTTCAGACACCGCAACCGAGCAAGGCAACCAAAAGCAACGAGAACTCAGAAAAATAAGAAACCAATAAACAGCCTGGTTCTTCAAAGTGACCTTTTGATAACCTGGTTTGAGGTCACTTAAGCCTCCTAAGGGTCACTTAGGAACCTTCAAAAGGTCACTTTGAAGAAGCTGGAGTGTCTAAGTAAGTTCCAATAGTTCCCTGTCGGGGTGCCATGTCCGGTGTGACCAGAACATCCACAGCCTGTGAGACTGTCGAAACCATCCCAACTCCATGTAACTCCTTGTGAGCTTCTTCACATGAATGTGACGACTCGTGGCGGGGCGCCGCGATCAACGGAATTGTGGCGTTTTGCGAAGACTTCGATGCAACCAGCACCTTCGATCCAGGTCACCGAGACAAAGTTCAGAGTTGGACCTTGCAACATCGACAACAACCCCAAAGCCATCCATGGAACTGGAATAGTTATTGGAATAGTTATTGTTATACCTGGAGTCGACCCGGAACTTGTACCTCGGAGTCTATGGGGCCCCAGTCGTACCTGCTTTTGATGGGGTCAGACGTCCCATTTTCGAAGGTACGAACTGGAGACTCAAGGTACATTGATCCAGAACACAACAAAACCTAGACCATCCATGGGTGGAACATATGCCGCCCCAGAAAGACCCCTGAAATCAATCACCCCATTGGAATATCGCCAGTCCCGCTGGATGGTCGTTTCCCAAGGAATCGATAGATGCGTAGCGGTGGAAGTAGATCTCGATTTGCTGGAACCTGGGCTCCTGGCCTCGCGTCGTGAAGCCCGGAGCTTCGAGTACGGTCCCGGTGACTCGCGCCGCGAGCCTCGACACCTCGATGCGCCAGGATCTTTGACATCGTCAAGGTCGGGGATGGGACGGGAGATGGCTCGAGTGATGGAGCCATCTATCTGAAGAGACAAAGGTCGACTGCCTCTCACGAAACGAACAAGCCCAACCAGTCCTCCAGCGTGACTTGAAAGCGTTTTCAACAGCAAATCTTCCAACAAGCAACCCACAAGGGAGTGGTGAATATAGACACCTTTGAATCATTAATGGACTCCCAATTGGTGACGCCCCAAAACACCGTCCGGCGCGGCGCATGGTCATGACCATGGGATCGCACGGGGATCTATTGAAGACACCGTGACTTACCTGGAGCAAAAAGAAGAAAAGCTCTTTAGCGATGGCCTCCACCTAGTAGCTTCTTGTTGCTAGTACCTCAGGATATGAGTGGACTGTAGCTCTTTTTATAGGGTCATGTCCCCTGTTCTAGTGTGCTTTGGAGGGTCCAGGTATAACGCTTGGGAACCCAGTTGAGTTGCTGTTGACCTTTTTCGGTTTTTCACCAAACTGAAGATAAATGCAGAATTGAGATCCAGGACCTGAGCCGTTGACCTCTGACTGGAGTCTTTCTTTGTGACCTCCATGGTGAAACCGCCACGATCGGACTCAACGGACTAGTGAGCCTGAGCCGAGCGCTCAGGTTCCGATCGCGACCTCGGCCGACAGGTGGACCAGTGCTGAAAACAGTTGGAAGTGGAAGTGGAACGCAGGAAATGCTGGATGGATTCCATATATCATTGGATCAGAGAGCCCATGGGAGATCGAGAGACACATCTGACAGATTGATCGTCATCAACATTCGCAGAACACCCTCGACCTCGTTTCGCCCCGAGTTTTCTCGCCTCCACTGAGCCGTTGAGCCGCCTCCTGCCATGGCCTTGGAGCTGGCGATGGTTGTGGGCCGATCGCCATCGGAGCGATCGGGCGGATCGAGCAGCGAGAGCGAGCTCGCGCAGCTCGAGCGCGTTGCGGAGTTGGACGAGGACCCGGATCAGCCGCCGTTGCAGGCTCGGGTCGATCCCGAATCGGATTTGGCGTTTCTAGCACTCAGTTGTGTGACCTCTATAGGCGTTTTTTGTTTCGATTTACCAGACATGCACAGAGCTATAGGAGATTGAATGGGTATCCAATGGAGAGCTATTTTCAGAAGGCCTCCAGTCGTACCGAACCTGAGAAGGTGGGACTGGGGTGGGTGCCAGGAGGGTCCAGTCATACCTTCGCAGGAGGTACGACTGGAGGTGTAGGGTAATATATGGTGTAGGATTGTTAATTTGTGACCCCATTCAAGCAGCCGGTACGTGACGACTTAGATTAGATTCCTTCCTTTCAGCATGAATAAGTTAAACGTTAACTAAGAAACAAGTTCATGTTTGTTGATTGGCGCCATGATCCACGTTAACAGCACACAAGTGATATGTGCGATTGGACTGGAATTCCCTCAGCCCCTCAGATCATGCAAATTATGCCGAGACGGGGAACTGTTTGATGAACACATTATGATACAGGTCGTCGCTGCCTATGTGGCGCGAATGGATATCTTAACGCCGGAAGTTTTGAGGGTCACGCATGCACACAAAGCCTTCCAAGATTGTGCACGAGCACTGCGAAAGACCAATGCAGATGACCTTTATGCAGAGAGTTTCATCAGCCAAAAAGTGGCTTGTTTCTGGTCCCATTCCTGGCATGGTACATCTTGGATGAAGATGCTGTCGCTCATGATGAGGTACAACGGGTTGCCATCAGTTCTGGTAGGTTCCTGCACTGCTTTGGTCATGGCTGGCCTCTTCAGCTGTGGCCTTTTGCCAGGAATAAGGCGAGCAGACTGGTTAATTGGACAGTGGTCAACCTGGTCAATAGGAGGCGGCTTCACAGCAACGGTGATCACATTTTGCTTGTGGCGGCCACAGCAGCAGGTTTTTCTGGACCGGGTTTGCATCAATGAAAACGACCAGGATCAGAAAGCGGCAAGCATTTTTAGTTTGGCAGGCATTCTGAAAAGGTCGGACGAGATGCTGATTCTTTGGGATGCCACATGGGGTGAACGCTTGTGGTGTCTATTCGAGCTGGCCGCTTTTTTTGAAAAGCAGAGACGCCCGGGAGCAAAGGCTCACCATTAGACCCACATTTTTGGGTCCATGTTCCATCGCACTTTTCATTGGCATTTGCATTGTGGTGTTGCCTTTGACCATCCTTCCGATGCCAGCATCCAACCCATTGTTCCATGTGTTTGGTTCCTTTCTCTTCATATTAATCCCGGCATACTTCATTGTTGCAGCCTTCCGTGCGTATTTCCGCTCAGTAGAAACTTTGAAGGCAAAGTTACAGAATCTCAGCTTCGACAACACCAGATGTGCATGTTGCGATCTTGGGCATGTGCAAGGAGGAATCCCCATGATGTGTGACAGGCAAATCGTCAAGAAATGTGTGTCGATATGGTTTGGCAGCCAAGAGGCCTTTGAAGACTGTGTACGATCAGCCGTTCTGCAGACAGTGGTTGCAGGATTGCAGGAGAACATATTCACAAGAGGGTGGAGCCTCTCAGTGTCAGTGCCCCTACTTTGGGCCTTCCTGGATTTGGTAGTGTCCCATGTAGCAGGAGGCAACATTAGTTTTGCCATCGCTCTGTTGATTGAGGGCTTGGTGCTGTGGCTCTTTTGTCTTCCTTTGTTTATAGATTTGTGTAGATTCCTTATGTGCCGGTATTGCCAACGAGGCACTTCCACTTTCCGTGAGATTTTAGTGAACCTGAAGGTTCAGCTGATGGCGATTGCTTGCTTGTGTTTGATGGTCGGCACTTGGATTTTTCTTTGTGGAACACGCCCTACAACTGAACTGCATGAACGTCCTCTTGGTGTGGCAGTGTTTACAGGACTGTGGGGCGCACTGGCACTTCTTCATCTGTGCAGAGCGCCACTTCGCCTTCCACTTCGCAACCACTTCGTCCAGTCGACCGACCCGATCAGCGTAGGACGGCGTGGGAAAAGACGGATGGATCTGTCGGGACGTCGCCTGGCTGGATGGACACTGTCGGAACTAGAGGGATGTGTCCAGATAGTCCAGGGCTTCCAAGCCACCACCGGTACGTGACGTGCTTCGTAGCGTCCTCTTGCTACTAGCGTAGTACCGCCAGGAGACCCGACACAAGGCTTCCGATCGCTCCGGAATTCGTCGCGATGCCAGGCTAGCCCCGAGTTCGTGGCGTCCCATTGCTTGACTAAGGAGTTTACACTACAAAGTCAGGTCGTTCCCATTTTTGAATGGTCTTGGAAGTCTAGAGCAGTAGAACACTGTTCATGTTCCGGTCAAACCGGTTAGCCCACCGTTTGACCCCTGGACCTGGACCTTACTCGGGATGTCCTTCCAAACTCGTCGTGTGGGGGCTTCCATTGATGACCCTGCTGGAAGGTGCTGGTACTTGTTCATGCAATTTTCTGAGGTACTTTGGAGAATGCAGGTTTTTCGCCCCACATGGACATGGAGTTCCAGTTTGTACCTGAGAACATGGGGACGGCGTCGTACCTGTGCCAACTTCAAGGGCGCCCTTCGTGTCCAGGTATACAGAGGGTTTGATCGCCGTTTTCCGCGGCCCCTGGGGGGTGGAAGTCACGTGTTCCCGGACATTTCTCAACATGTCTCAACACGAAGTTCATGCCATTCGTTTTAGTATAGGAGAACTCCAATTATAGGTCGAGTCGACCGCACCTGTCCACCTGTCGACTCGGCTTGTTCCGAACCGTTCGCTGCGAGCACGCACGGAGCGACCTGGAGCCACCTGGAGCGATCGCTGCGCTGCGGACGCTGACCGATCCGCATCAGGATGGGGTCGAGGATGGCCATCACACACACCTGCAGATTTTATATATATATATATATGCTAATGCTAAGGCTGCATCGTGGAAGGTCGCCCAAAATCGGAGTTGGTCCTCAGAATCTTAGGATTTTGCCCTTGAGTTTAAGTGAAGATCGATGTGAGAAAGTCTCCAGTCAGTAGAGGGTCCTTTTTGTTTTTTGACCACTGAGAACAGCTGCTTTTGGACCAAGTCACACTTGGAGAGCATCATTTTCACCACTTTGCAGCAGCCAGCGAGGTGATCCTGATTTCTATGACCAGCTTGCAAACATTGGACATGAACGTATCGTTTCCAAAAAATGCCTCAACATGTCAACATCTAATCAATTCAGCCAGGAACGTAAAGGAACGTCATTTCTGGCGGCAGACATGTTAGTCAAAAAACAACCGACGTAGTTGATGTAAACAGCCCGCCATGGTAGGGGCTGTGGCAGTTGGCAGAGCCATTTCCGATGCTGGATGGTCCGATGAAACCCTGAGTTCTCACAGCAAGCTGCAAGATCATCCAAGAGATGAAGTGCATTTGCAGGTGTGAGTCCAAACATTGTCTTTTTGACCAGGCCTTGAATCGAGAACTACGTCTAAGTTATATAAATGTTGGGACTCTTTTGTGTTTGTTGGAGCATGATGTGTCGTTTGTAGTTACCTCGCTTAATTACAGAAGATGCAAACGTCCAACGAACAGAGGTGATGCCCCGATTCTCTTGTCATCTAAGTTTTGGTCCCTGACTTGTTTATGCTAGCGGCATTGTTACCGCCCGGATAACAAAAAACAAAGAAAACACACATGTTTCTGCACGTGTGACATGGACACTGCATGATAATGAGAACATGTGGGGGTGGGGGGTGGGGCAGAGTTGCTATCGGAAAAGTTGTTGTTTGATGTTGCTGCTGCGCCGAGAGTTGTTTTCGTTCAAAGGTGGGCTCAGTTTCGTGGGCGCGCTCAGTTTTTCGTATGTGTTGCTGTTGAGAGTTGGCAAGCTTGCGGACATCGGAGAACTTCCGGTCAATCTTAAGAATTATTTGGTGGACGTGTTTTATGTGCAAGCTTTTGAATTGTTTGTGCAGGATTGTTCCAGAGGCCCTTTGGTTGCTTCCACTAGGTTTGTCGTGCTTGACCAAAATCGTTGGCCTGTAGTGTTTACCGCATTGGAAGAGCATGTACAGCCT